GCATATACACTGCCTCTTGTGAAATAATCACAAGTGTATGTTCTGCTTGCCATAACAGCAATCATGGGATTTTTAAAAGGTCCAGTGTAACTTCGTAAAACTAGTTAATAATACGCAACACATATGTAATGATTGGGGGTATTCTATAAGGAAAATTTATTTTCCGCAGGAGACAAAATATAAGAATGTATTCGGTACCGTATTGGAGTTTATTTAACACCAATAAACTACAATTTTTTTTCTTTTACCAGGTAAGGCCCACTGAGTTACATAGCTCCTTTTCAGAAGCGACCTGGCAACAAACGATAGCTCAACGATGACAATTTATAGCAGCCAAATACTCTAAACCCATGTTTTTAAATGTGGAGGGAAAAACCAGAAATATTCACGCGGTCACGGGGAGAACGTGCAAACTCCAAATATACAGGCGTCAGAGTTAGGATTGAACCCATAACCTCCTACATACCAGCTGATATAGTTAACATCTCACCACCGTAGCGCAAGTGGGAGCGCAGTGATGTTGGTACTGTTATCCAACCAGCAAGCCAAGTTCAATTACTGGCCTAAGTTAACGCGAGTGGTGAGTGATATCTGAACCGGTCATCGCTAGCCAGCTTCACCAACCCACACTGACCAGCATCAAGTATGGTTACACAACTGCCATGATAAACGTGGTGTGGGAAGGCCTTTATCCAGACGTGTTCTGCCAAAGGGCTTCAAATTATAAACACCAATACTACATAGGTGCATGGAACCAAATGTATGCACCTGCCAGGCCACAGCCAAGTTGCTTCAACATGAATAAGACAATGGATGGCTTGAGGATATTTAAAATAAGTTCATGTTCAGAAATAATTGTACGACAATGACATGCTGATACACAAAAGAGTGTGTGGGCTCACCGGCCAGCAACCCAAAGCCACACTGTCCCTGTATTGGTTTCAGAAAGAAACCAATAAATGAGGTAATTTAAAAAAATTTGTGTAACGTTAATATTGTAATAATAAGTTACAATTCACCTGAAGAAGAAATTTGTGCCAGGGTGTTTAAAGGCTAGTATTAATAATGCAGTAACATACATTCTAACATGACCAAATTATCAGAAACGTGCCAGATATCGTCAAAAGGTGGGAGGCTGAAGTTGAGAAACACTATACTCGTTGGTTTTTTCGGTAAAGTCACAGAGAGAAAATTAATAGATCACGACGTTTGATCGCAACACAAGCGACCGTCTTCAGGTGAGAGAGAAAGAAAGCTACTGAAACAAGGTCTTATGTAGGCCTGAGATGGATGCAGCCTCAGGGTAATAGGTCAGGGCTAGAGACGGGCTCCCTGAGGCTGTGGAAGTGGCTATTGTATTGTGAGAGATTAGCGTGTCAATGCACGAGCTTAGTATGTCGCAGCATCGGTGACTAAGCGAGAAGGACATCCAGCCCATCAATACAAAGACATCCAACCTAATAATGCAACTCAGAGAGTCAGATAAAATCGCAGGAAGGATGGAAACATCACAGCAGGTTGACTTTACCTGGTCAATCACGTCCTTCCAATGATTGCTCAATTTGTACCATTTCAGGCCTATATAAGACCTTGTTTCCGTAGCTTGCTCTCTCTCACCTGAAGACGGTCGCTTGTGTTGCGGTCAAAACGTCGTGATCTATGAATTTTCTATCTACGTGACTTTACCGAAAGAACCAAAGAGTATGGATTCCTGCAGTCACGAAAGCTTCAAATCAAGATTGAGAAACACTGCTGGAGAATGTTTCACCCCGCAGTCCAAGTTAAAATTCTGCCAAAGAACCATCAGTCAACCAGTTAAGCCGAGACACTTTATCTTGGCTGGGAGAAAGAAATAAGAAACGGTGAGCTTCTTTCTTATTGTGTGTTGCAGAGATAAGCGACATTTTTTGGGGGGAAAAAACCAAGTGTTCTGAAGTGCTGTCTAGGTTATTTAGCCAAAGGCATTGCTTTTAAGCTGGTGCTTTGACGCTGCCATGCAACGGGTCTTCATGGGCAGAGGTTGACAAGTTCTCCATTGTGTGAGAATAGGTTTTCCCTTTTTATCTGGCAACAAAACAGGTGTTAAGATGTTAAAACACCAAACTGAAACCTATTACAAGGAATCATGTGTGCATTAACCACAATACTTGTGGTCAGAATGCAAACAAAAAACACTCTGATAATATATGCATTGTCTTTGAAACTGATTGGTACACACCAGAGACAACTTTCTTTTGAGCCTCGTTGCCAGAAGAAAGGGGAAAAACCTATTCTCATATTTTGGTACTGGCAAAGGAGGTCCCATTATGTAGATGCCCACCCCAAGCTCTCATTACTCTGATAGTGCATTGTCTTTGTGCTGTACGCCTTCTGGCGTCCTCTGGTCTAACACCGTTTTGAGACAAGGCTCAAAAGAAAGCTGTCTTTGGTGTGGACCAATCAGTTTCAAAGACAACGCATATATTATCAGAGTATGTTTTTTGTTTGCATTCTGACCACAAGTAATGTGGTTCATGCAGACATGATTACTTGTAAAAGGTGTGTTTTTTGTTGCCAGAAAAAATGGGAAAAAACCTATTCTCATATTTTGGTACTGGCAAAGGAGGTCCCATGATGTAAGTTCTCCATTGTTCTGCCAATAACCTCCACGTGGTCCTCCACGATAAGTACCCAGAATAATCGATACTAAGTATGTATGTTGAACTTCTTTCGCAACTCAAAGGTGGACAGAATGCTCAGCCTCTCAGTGGGAACAGTAAACAAAAAGCTTTCAAGAAATTTCTTCATGGCTTAACAAAAGGCCAATAACATGGGCCAGGGAGCATTACGTGTGCCAACTCAAGAAATGGTGATGGTTACCTATTTACACCTCCTCCCTGAGCGCTTAACTCCAAGCAGGTATCCCTTGCAAATAAACTTTCGATCTCAATTGGGCCCTGAAATAATGATCTAATTTATAAAGCACATTCAGTCAAGATCCGTGACATAGCTTACATGCCGGCGACAGAATAATACAATGATTTAGGTGGCAGGGGCGTAGAAGGCTTGAGGAATGAGTGAACGCGATAGAGGGGTAACTACTTCGGGATCACGAAAGGGTACGGGAGGGACGGGAAGAAGTGGAGGGGTGAGGGGATGTAAGAGAATGGGCAATAGAGAAGAGAGCTTTAGACTATTTTTTTGCCAGGTAAGGCCCACTAAGCTAAATAGCTGTTTTTCAGAATGGGCATGGCCACAAATGCTAGCTCAACGAAGCGACTCATCACGTGGAAATGTATAGCAGCCAAATACTCCAAATGCATGTTTCTAAATGTGGAGGGAAAAACCGAAGGACCCAATGAAATATGCGCGCGACCACGGGGATAGACACGCAAACTCCAAATGTACCAGGCGTCAGGGTCGGGATCGAGTCCACGACCAGGATCCTGTATACCAGGCGAGGTCGTTAACATATCGCCACCGTGGCACCCCAGAGGACGAGAGGGGACATGTACCTGGCTGTAGCCCTGCCTGGTTGTAGTCCTGCCTGGCTGCAGCCCTGCCAAATCGAGCAATGGGGTGGACCGCTCATCACTACCGGCGTCCATGAGCAAACGGTGGGAATTCCACATTGCCATTGTGGGGATCACTCTCCACAACACACTTTCATTCCACAGTACACAATCAAATGCAGTAGTCATATAACACAGTACAGTACTGGAATGTAGTGCTCATGTTGACGGTTATAATACTATATTATTATGAATGTATCCACTATGGCAAGTCTGTGTATGGGTCCTGTACAGTAGTGTGGCAGTGATAGTGGATGACAAAAGTACTGCAGTACTGTGCTGTCTAAACACAACACCGTAGTTACAGTACTACAGTGGGGGTAACGTTGAGGCGTATCGTGGTTAATGATTGTAATTTAGCACGGTGACACGCTAGCTTCTCCGTGGCAATGTACGGCGTGACAGTAAAGCTGTTGAGTGCCGTGAATATTTGCAGAAGCGTCCAGTGTGTACGCAGCGCGTGTGACTCGATATAGCAATTACAGTGGCGATAATCAATGGTGCCGTCATCAACAACGCCACGTTACGTTGAGTAGTAGTATCACACACAAAATCGGGAACAACATTGCGTTAAGCGATCTCGCAAAACCCACTGCCGTACTTACACAGTCGGAACTTGCCATTGGTAAAGGAGGGTGATCGATGGCGCAGCATTTCGCTCGCACCGAACCAACAACAAACCCGAGTTCCGATTCCGGGCTGGCTCGCCAACAAAAGTTGTACAGCAACAGCGGTGGGTGGTCGGTCCGATCCCCGGCACTCGGGGCGTCTCACACTTCACCCGTGAACTTTTCCTAAACTAAGCGCGCACCCACGAGAGATGAAGTGAGCGGTCTGTGTGTGGCTGTCGTGTTAGTATGGGGGTGGTGGTGGGGTGGTGGTGTGGTGGGGTGGTGGTGTGGTGGGGTGGTGGGGTGGTGGTGTGGTGGGGTGGTGGGGGGGTGGGGGTGGTGGGGGGGTGGTGGTGGTGGGGGGGTGGTGGTGGTGGTGGGGTGGTTGTGGTGGGGGGGTGGTTGTGGTGGGGGGGTGGTTGTGGTGGGATGCGGTAGTGTAGCAGCGGTTAGCGCTACGGCTGCGCTACGAACCCGGCGACCCGAGTTCGATTCACGCTCACGGCCACCAACACCGGTGACGATTATCCAAACCGGCTCTGGGGCCTCCCCTAGGTCGACTCGGCCTCGAGTGAGTGCCCGGTGCGTTGTGTAGTAAACATCGCCACTGGGGGACCAAAAAAAACAAAAGTCGACCGGCTGCGGTGGCGGCCACCTACCCAACACCCCGTGCCGACCGACCCCCATAGAAGCTTACTCGCGAACAGCACTTAGCCACGACTGTCTGTTGCAGGCTACACGGGGGGGGGGGGGGGGGGTGGAGGGGAGAGATCTGTGTGGCGTTGGTGGAAGGAGGATGATGGGGACGTGTGGGGTGGAGATGAGAAGGCGAGCTCACCCGCCAGAGCGCGTCGCTTCTGCAGGCTGAAGAACGCGTTGTGGCGCTCCGTGCTCCATAGCGCGCCGCCCGTCGACGCTTCCTCGGGTCGCGTCCACATGGCATGAAGAGAGGCCCGGCCGACCTGCTTCACCACCCACCACCACCACCCCGGCCGACCTGCTTCACCACCCCCACCACCACCCCGGCCGACCTGCTTCACCACTCCGGCCGACCTGCTTCACCACCACCCACCACCACCACCACGTCCCGTCTCGTCCCGCTTCCCTTCTCTGCCTCGCGTTAAGAAAACAACTTCACTCTCCCCCACTTGAGGCGTCGTTTCAACTCGAGAAGACCGGCCCCTGCCGCCGCCGCTGCTGTTGTTGTTGCTGTTGTTGTTGGAGCTGTTGTTTGGGCTGTTGCTGTTGTTGCTGCTGTTGTTGATGTTGTGGCTGCTGTTGTTGATGTTGTGATGTTGTTGTTGGGGTTGCTGTTGTTGGGGCTGCTGTTGTTGCTGTTGTTGTTGGGGTTGCTGTTGTTGGGGCTGCTGATGTTGTTGATGTTGTTGTTGCTGCTGTTGTTGTTGGGGCTGCTGCTACTCGCGATCTCGGCCGTTTCCCCTCCGCACATGCCGCGTCACGTGACCGCCGCGCGACGCTTTACGGCCGCGCGGTTGGTGTCGTAAAGGCCGCGTGGGGGGCGGGGCGGGGGCCCCATGGCAGCTCCACGTGTGCCCCTTGTGTCGCAATGAATTACACGAATCTATAATACAGGTGTGCTTTGGTTTTTATTTAAAGCTTTCGTGACTGCAAGGATCCATCTTCTTTGGTTCTTTCGGTAAAGTCACGTAGAATGAGAATAAAATAATACATTAATAAAATGAAATAATAAAATTCTCACGACGTTTCGGCCACAACACAAGTGGCCTTCTTCAGGTGAAAGGAACAGACCTGTCGGGACGACAGAGCTTATTGAAGCTTCAATAAGCTAAATAAGACAGAGCTTATTGAAGCCTAATAAAATAACACAATTATTTAGCTTATTGAAGCTTCAATAAGCTACGTCGTCCCGACAGGCCTGTTCCTTTCACCTGAAGAAGGCCACTTGTGTTGTGGCCGAAACGTCGTGAGAATTTTATTGTGTTATTTTATTTTATTAATTTATAATTTTATTCTCATTCTACGTGACTTTACCGAAAGAACCAAAGAAGATGAAGGCTACTTGTGTTGTGGCCGAAACGTCGTGAGAATTTTATTGTATTATTTTATTCTACGTGACTTTACCGAAAGAACCAAAGAAGAGGTTTGCTTTGGTTTACATCGCGTAAATATATACATTTGTCGTTTAACCCGCCACCACCGGTGTGTTGTGCTAGTCACGAATTGGCACGTTCTGTTTACGTAACAAACCTCACGAACTTGGCTGTCGGGTGGTGGCGGGTTTAACGACACATTTATATATTTACGCGATCTAACCAAAATAAACCTGTATTATGGATGATATTGGTCGCGGAAGCCTACGTGTTAAACAGAATTACATGAAACTAAAACTAAACTTTGTTTTCTTCACCAGGTTAAAGCCCCTGCTCAGCGATGTAATTACGGTGGGTTTTTTTTCTTTCTGGAAGATTTTCTGGTTTATCCCAGGATGTTTCTGTTGCGCGTCGTCGCTTTAAGATGTTCTCTGTTCATATTTTGTTTGTTGCGGTTGCACCTGACTCAAGAGCCGCATGGCTCACAGGGCTTTACCTAATGTCACAAACGATAGCTCAACGAAGTGGCTTATCAATCAATGCATAAGTGTATACCAAGCCAAATACTGCAAACGCGTGTTGATTCTAAATGTGGAAGGGAAAAACCGGAGGACCTGGAGAAAAAATTCACGCGACCGCGGGGAGAGAGATAAGCAAACTCCAAATAAACAGGCGTCGGGGTCGAACCCACAACCTCCCGCATACCAGGCGAGGTAGTTAACATAACTGCCTCGCTTCTTTGTACATCGCTTTCATTTAACTCACTCTGTTGTCGTTGTTGTTGTATCCTCAAATCTTGTAACAAAATTTTAACCCACTTCCCAATGTGCTATCGACTGCAAACTTGGTAAACTTATGTCATACTGATGACAATACTATATTATATCATAAAAAATAAAAATATATTTTTAAACAAGTCTTTTTTATATGTTATGTTTCGGCTTCGGTCTAATTGTCCACGGTAAACTAACGTTGGCTGTAAATGACCACGGGCCCCTTACGTTGTGGCAAGCTTCGAGGCAACTTCCTGGAGTCGTGGAGTTCTTACATTACTCGTACGGTACATTTCATTAAAGTGTGTTTTTAAAAAAGTATTTTTCAATATTACTTATTCAGAGCATGTTTGGTTTGCATGTTTTGCCACAGGTACGTGTGGTTAATGCATACTTGATACCTTGCAAAAGGTATATATTTGGTGTTTGAACACCAAACCACCTGTTTTATTGCCAGAACAGGTAAAAACCTACTCTTATTGTTTCATAATTTTGATACTGGAAAAATAGGTCCCATAGAATGACATTTGTTTCCCCTACATATGATTCCTGCGCGTTTGTTTAATTTTCACAAATACATTGCAAATATCCATTTAACATATATGGTAATGCATGTTTAATTATTGGCAATATATTTTAAATATTGGCAATATTTTAAATATTGCAATATTTTAAATATTGCCAATATGTTTCAATATTGCAAATACATTGGTGAAAATTAAACACGTTAAGGAATCAAACAGTATAACAATACATGTCATGCCACAGTCCCGCGTGTTGTAAGAGCAGGGTTTCTCAACCCGCGTGCCACCACGGTATTTCCGGAATTAAAGCAAAGTCACGTGACTTTACCGAAATAATCAAAGAGTATGGATTCCTGCAGTCACGAAATACTCAAATCGAGATTAAAGCAAAGGAATTAACCTTTCTGACCCGCCCCTACTGGACATCTGTGAAAAAGAGCTTCATAACTCATCGGATTCCTCCAGTCTAAAGAAAGATTGTGATTATGAACCTTCTTGCAAGCAAGGCCAAAGACGAACTATCCGTGCCATTCAGTGACCGATCCTCCAAACAACTCCCGCATTCCATCTCCATTGGTTATGGATGCGCAGCACAGCAGGAGACACCCCCGGTCCTCTGCAGTCCCTCGGTCGCGCGTGCCCAGTTGGGAAAACGGTGTTTTCCGTAAATATTGAGCAAGCTTGAGAGTGGAATTTAAAAGGTTGACAAACCCTGTGGAGGTGCCTATGATAAAATCACCAGGTGGCCCTCGTAAGCTAAGAACAAGGATTTGCACTTACAGTACTATATAGGATGTCTTGCTTAAATGCCTCAGCAACTCAAAGCGTATTACGTCTCATCCCAACCATTCCAATGCCCTGCTGCAGTCTAGCCAAATGGGGTACCTAAAAACAGCTGTCCCTGTGCGACAAAATGTGTAGTGCAGGGGTGTCCAAACTACGGCCCGCGGGCCAACTGCGGCCCGCCATCAGTTTTAATTGGCCCGTATCAAAGTCAAAAAAATATAATGGACTATGGCCCACTGTATTGCACTTCTTAGTTTAAAAAGTAGGTGGCGCTATTGTCTTGAACAAGGCACCGTCTCCACAAAGCAAGCAATCGAAGAAAAAATTTGCTCAGGGTCACCAGAAATGCCGGAACCGAAGAGACGCAAGATTGCAAGCGAGTGCAGAAAATTTCAGACTCGGTGGAAAAATGAATATTTTTCATAGAAACCAAGGGGAAGTGTGTTTGTTTGATTTGTAATGAGAGTGTTGCCGTGATGAAAGAGTACAATGTACGACGGCATTATGAAACGAAACATCAAACCTTCACGTCCTACACTGGCGCCGAGCGGAAAGTGAAGGTAAAGCAAATGGCAGCTAGCCTGCTAATGCAGCAGCAGATTTTTTTTTTCCATGCTAACAAAGCTCAAGAAAATACAACAATAGCCAGTTATGAAGTAGCTCAACTCATTGCCCTACACAGGAAATCTTTCTCAGACGGTGACTTCATCAAACAGTGCCTCACTAAAGTCGTGAGAATAATGTGCCTGGAGAAAATGCAGGATTTCAACGATGTTAGTATGTCCAGAAATACGGTTGTGCGGCGAATTGAAGACTTGTCGGCTAACTTAAAACAGCAAGTGTCAGATAAAGCTTGTGCTTTCGATTTTTACTCGATTGCATGTGATGAGAGCACAGATGCCATGGACACTGCACAGCTGTTAATTTTTTTGCGGGGAGTTGATCATTTTTGCATTACGGAGGAACTGCTCGATCTTCGGAGTCTAAAGGGGACAACAACTGGGAAGGACATGTTTGAAGCTGTGTCAGATGCAATTGACCAGGCTGGACTTAAATGGGACAAGCTGTGTGGAATTACAACGGATGGGGCTCCAGCAATGACAGGCAAGCGCAAAGGAATGACCTCTATGGTGAGTGCCAAGGTGCGGGAGAGCGGAGGTGAGGCTGTCAAAATGTACCGTATCGTCCACCAAGAAGCCCTCTGTGCCAAGATAATCCACCTTGGTGATGTGATGAACACTGTTGTAAAAACTGTCAACATAATGCGGGCACGAGGGCTTTACGACAGAGAATTTCAAGCGTTCCTCTCTGATGTCGATGCAGAATACGGGGACCTACTCTACTATTCTGAAGTGTGCTGGCTCAGTCGCGGCTCCGTGCTGCAGCGGTTTTATTCCCTGAGATCAAATATCGACAAGTTTATGAAAGAAAAGGGCAGACCTCTCCATGAGATCAGTGACCCTTTATGATTGGCAGACCTGGCTTTTTTAGTTGATCTCACTGATCATCTCAACACCCTGAACAAGAGACTACAAGGCAAAGAGCAGCTGGTATCATAGCTGTATGCGCACATAAAAGCATTCCGTGCGAAGCTCCGTCTCTTCGAGTCACAACTGTGCAACTTCAATGTAGCACACTTCCCCACAATGACCGAAATCAAATGCGCATTTCCAAATGCCAAGCTCTCTGCAAAAATGGGAGAATGTGTCTGTGATCACATCTCTCATGACAGAATTCAGTCAGTGCTTCCAAGATTTTTCTGTCATTGAGAAGGAAATCACACTGTTTGCGGCTCCGTTTTCAATGGATGCAAAAGAAATAAAGGAGAGTCTGCAATTACAACTGATCGAAATTCAGTGTGATGATTCTCTGAAGAATCAGCATTAGCTTCTCTCCCTACCTGACTTCTACCGGAGCTTGGAAAAGGCCAAGTTTCCTCTGATGAGACGCCACGCAAAACGAATGATGAGTCTGTTCGGCTCAACATACATCTGTGAGCAGACATTCTCTCTGTTAACGCTGAACAAAAGCAGGCTGAGAACCAGAACGACCGACAGCCATCTCCGTGACGTCCTTCGCATCTCAACCACCAAACTTACTCCTGACCTGCCAGCTATCCTTCACACCAAAGCGCAGCATCACTGCTCCCACTGAGCACAACATTATTCCCATTGCAGGTAAGTTAAAAATATACACACAGTTTTCATTTGTTAATAAGCCCAATTAATTAATAAATTCAGTCAATTAAAGTTGATGACAATTTTTTAACAAACGTTAGTTGATGTGTTAACAAGCCCAATAATGTATTTGTGTAATAAGCTTGAAATATCCACATCCCCTATTTCTCTTCTTGTCTCTCCCTTCATACAGGACAATGAAGGGGGATCAGCACCCTAAGAACTGTCACTGAGAGAATGACCTGGCAACCTTTTTGTAAAAAATAAAATTTAAATCTACTAATGGAGAGCTATGATGGAGGCTTTTTGTCTTCAAACATGTTCAATTATCAAACGTAATTTACCTGCATTTGATTGATTTTGCCAATATTAGTGCATGAGAAGTGAGGCAGTATACCTCACGTCTAGTGAGTGGCCCAGTCCTTCGTATATTTTACTGTATGTGGCACTCGGGAAAAAAAAAAGTTTGGACACCCCTGGTGTAGTGAGTCCAACTGAGTCACAGACGTTGTCTTGGGAGCAACACGTTTTATTAAACTCTTAGCACAACACACTCCAGGCTATTAACACAACATACTCCAGGCTATTAACACAACATACTCCCGGGTGGTGACCACCCAACTAACCACGCTACGGCAGAACTAGACACGGTTCCACTATCCCGTCCGGACCACAAGCTGGGTCCCGGACCGCGTGGCTGGAGGCTTCTTCAAGCTTGAAGTGGATCTCCTGCCTCTCCAACAGAAAGAACCCCGAGCCCCTCTCAGGGCCCCCCTTATATCGGGCCGGGCTGGGGCTGGCTCCGCCTCTCGCCCCGCCCACCTTCTCGATCTCTCGCCCTTGCCCGAAGGCTCTCAAGAGTTCTTCCCGGACCATGTGACCACCCATTGGCCCCCTCCACCGGTGGCCCCCCTCTAGTATCATCCGGTCACATGTCCCCAGGTCAGCCAGAGTATCATGCCCCCAACGTAGCTCTAGCTGACTGATACTCTCTCGCTCTCTCAACGGGAGCCCGCACCGCACGCTGTGCGTGGTGCCAGAGCACTTAACCAGCGCTCACCCAAGCTCCCACTAGGGCTGGTACTACACCCCGTGTCCGGGGTGTACACACAACAGGAAACATCCCGCCGTGGCCTCATAGGCCCGGCACCACACAGTGACATTCCCAGTCACTACAAATGTATATGAAGAACCGGCCGTGAAAAATGAAGTTAGCTACCATGGTGTAATATGTAATGGCGAGCACATCGGGCTTGCAGTCCAGAGGCCATGGGTTCGATTCAAGCTCCATTTGAAATGGAGTAAGATTCTTTCTGTCCATCCATTAGAACAGTCTGTTCTGCTATGACACGGTAGTTCAGTTCCTGAATAACACCGTGTTATGTAAAAATCACGTTACGATATATGGTAAAGCATGGTCCGCGATAACACGTGAGATGCTTATGCAGGCTGAACAAAGACTGAGGCACGTGGATAGCATCTCGAAGCATCCAGCAGCATCCCGTCTTGTGTAGATGCTACGCCGAGGCAGCTGTACAACCGCTTTTTCCTACTCGCGCGACGTAGTTCCGTTTACTCAATTGTGGTATATCCAATTTGCGTTATGAAAACAACACGCGTTGTAGGAGCATTGAGTGTACTGTAGTGTGTTGTCTCCATCGGTGATTGTGCATAACTCTCAGTAAATAAAGCAACCCATGGAAGAACACTCTCGAACACGTGCTTGATACTTTCTGGTTTAATTTTGGCTGTTACTAACCGTTAATACAAAATAAAGAAAAAGCTTGTTGAAATACAAACATATTTATAATCAACATAATCCATCTCTTAACTTTAGCACACTAACTGGTCATTCTAAGTGTAGCACAGTCTCTGCTAACACCAACTCTACCAAGTGAATGGTTTTCCACAGATGCCGTTAAGTCAGCTCAGACATCCTGAATCTTCTGGTCTACGAATGCCTGCACGCACGCTATATATTTTTTTTATATCGATCAGCTTCTGATTTTTCGACCGATCGGCGTGTGATTTAGTGGTGCCTATATTCAGGCATCTGCTGGGACTCGGGACAAATAATGTTCAGCCGGCATCCCCCGTGCCATGCTCATTGCTGCCCGTACTCACTGCAGCTTTGGTACTCTCGCTCAGTCAGCAATTTCTCCAATGTGGGCCATGACAGTACAGGGTGGTCCAGATGTCTTGTGACTGTCAATTATTTGACCCCTAACATTGTTTCCGTTTCATATAAATTTATATTTCCAATAAACCTTACTTTTAAAAATATATTAAGTTTTAGAGAATTAAATTGGGGTAACAAGACATCTGGACCAACCTATACAGTAAAAAGGTGGTGCACCAGTGGTCGATTGTCAGATCGCGTGTGGTGGGGTGAAGTGTGGGTACGCCCACCTTAAGGCACCTGGTAAAGTCACATCTAATAGACAGTCTTTGCCTATGAATATCTGGAGTTTCAGCAGCATTGGTGAAATTTCACCAGCATTGCCGATGATACACTGAATGTTCTTTGGGTCTTTCGTTAAAGCCACGTAGAAAAAAAACATATCACGACGTTTCGATCGCAACGCAAGCAATCATCAGGTGAAAAAATTGCGGGAAAGCTGCTGAGGCAGGATGTTATAAAGGTTTGAGATGGGTGTAGCCCAAAGGTCATAAGCGAAGTAGGCGGGGCTAGTAGTGAAATTTGCATGTCAATGTAAGATCGGGTGAATCAGAGAACCACCTCTACGACGACGAAGCTGCGGAGGTGGCCATTGTATTGTGAGAGGTTAGCATGCCAATGTAAGATCGTACAGCCACCGCCACATTGAGGAAAAATGAGCACGGTGGCCGTGTTAGTGAGACATTTAACCTGTTAATGTAAAGACATTTAACCTATTAACGTAACACCAGAGAGTCGAAAATAACGACTAGCATCGGCAGGTAGGATGGAAACATCACGGCCAGTTATGACTTAAACTGGTTAATAACGTCCTTCCAATGACTGCTCAGTTTGTACCCATCTTCTCGGTTGGCTATCAACACAAATTCGTTCATGAAGCCATCCAGATATATAAACACAGACACAATTTCAACACAGCCACCGTTGCTCGTTTTCCTCGATGTGGCGGTGGCTCTACGATCTTACATTGACATGCTAACCTCTCACAATACAATGGCCACCTCCGCAGCTTCGTCATCGTGAAGGTGGCTCTCTGATTCACCCGATCTTACATTGACATGCAAATTTCTTCACTAGCCCCGCCCACTTCGCTTATGACCCTTGGGCTACACCCATCTCAAACCTTTATTACATCCTGCCTCAGCAGCTCTTCCGCTATTTTTTCACCTGATGACGATTACATGTGTTGCGATCGAAACGTCGTGATATTTTTTATTATTTTTTTTTCTATCTACGTAGCTTTAACGAAAGGCCAAAAGAATATGAATTGCTACGGTCACAATAGCTTTAAGTCAAGATACACTGAATGTCCATAACCGGTCCAGTTATCGTGTCGAGCCGTGCAATGCTGCTGAAACTACGTACGGGAACTCCAAAAGAAGTCCGTACGGCTGATGAGATGTGTAAGGAATAATTGGTACATGTTTTGCATGGTGGGGGGCGGGGCAGATATGTGGAGTCGTACTGCCTACCGATTTCTCGTTTCGCTTATACAGGGTGGTCCAGATGTCTATACAGTAACTTAATCTTATTGTAAGGTTTATTCAAAATATAAATTCACGTGCAAAGGGAAAATATTTTTCGGGCTCAATTCATTGGGTGTCACAAGACATCCGGACCACCCTGGATAATTATAAAGTCACGGGTGAATCAATTACTACCACAAGATAAAGAATAGACTGTTGGTGAAAGTGCTGTTAGCGAGCACCTATGAAGGCCAGTGCAGCACAACGAGGGGTGGGTGGCCAACACCCCGCCCGGCCACCTTTGTCTCTCTTCAGTGGCGATGTACCAGGTACATTCATTTGAGGCCGAGTCGAGCTAGGGGAGAATGCCCAATAACCGGTTCGGATAATCGTCACCGGCGTCGGTTGACCGTGAGTGGGAATCGAACTCAGGTCGCCGGGATTCGTAGCGCAGCGCGGCGCTCACCGCTACACCACTGCTGCCCAGTCCTGGATCACCCTACCAGCGCCCACGACCACCCACGACCACCAGCGCCCACGACCACCAGCGCCCACGACCACCCCACCCACGTGCACCCACCCCAAACCCACGTGTCCTTTAAACGCGCAATCCCGACGAACTCTCGCTCGAAGTCTCGCGAGAGCCCTTCGCGGTGGGGCGGGGCTGTGGCAGAGCGTGACCCGGCGCTCTCGCGCGGGGCGTTTGCGGCCTTCGGCTCTACCGTCGCCTCCACAACCGCCGCCGGATCCGCTTCGTTCACCGGCCGCTCCACCTCCACTCCCCGGCGGTCGTTTCGCCCTCACCTGGGGAGGAGGAGGAGGAGAGTGGCCGTGCGAGCTCGCCTCGTGCTGCTAAACCGACCATGACTCTCTCGGCCAAGGAGCTGAGCGCCCTCATCGAGCTCGTGTCGGAGGAGGCCAGCGCCAAAATGTCTCTCGAGTCGCTCTCCGCCGCGCTCGCCCACAGCGTCCCGCGAGCGCAGGTGACGATTTTGCATCGGCAACCCTCCCGATGGATGGATTGTTTTCGTTTGACGGTGGTGGCGAGTGTTGTTGAGGTGGACGGAGTTGGTGGGGTTGTGTTCGTTGTGGTTGCGTACGGCGGGCGGTTATTGTTGATGATGTGAACTAGGCGAGTGTTCCTTCACTGCGAGGCCCGAGGGCCACTGGATGGCCTTTCGCGAGGCCCACCCCCGAAAGCGGCCCTTGCAGGCTGCTGGTGGCGGCGCCTCGCGAACCGACGCCGTTCTTCTTCGTAGCTGTCAACCCCCCCCCCCCCCACCAAGGTTTTATACCCCGTATTCTTGTTTACGTGAGGTTTTTTTTAGGTCCACGACGGCGTGCGGTGTTTGCGATGGCGCTTTGTAGGATGGGCGTTGAGATTTGTATGGGCACGGGGTGACCAATAAGGATTTAAATGGTCTGTAATAAGATAGGAGGATCTGATAAGGGGTTGACAGGTTTGTGTCTTGTCGGCAAAAGTGGATCTCCCCCCCCCGCAACCCCTCTGAAAAATAGTGAACAACACTGGGAATAGATGATCGATTCGTTTTGTTTGGCTTGTTGTGGTGGTGGTGAGTTGGTGGGAGATTCATTGTGGTTTCTTGCGACGATTGCTGGATATGGCAGTGATGTGTCAACGGTTGTAGATATAAGTTAGGTAATCGTTACGATTCGCCATATTCCACGTGCGTACAGCGAGATTCCATCAATCGTGTTATCTCTGCACCGCGTTGGACACTCTCTCGTCTCGTTCGTGCCGTCTCATTATTGCCGACTCCCGTTTGGTCATGAGGAGCAAAAATAATAGAAAATAATGTATTCCCAGACACGAATGGACGACGTGCACATCGTGAGTGTTACTTAATGTATGCTGAACTTCTATCGCACCGTGCGTAGCAAACAGTGCTAATCAGAGGTTGCCGGGGGAACCACAACAAATTAAAGACAAAAATGAGTTACTGTATAAAGAAATGTAGTTTTAAGTCTAGATTTAAACGTGCTTAGCTCCAGTGGCTTCCTAATATCGGAAGGAAGAGCGTTCCAGACGGCCGCAGAAGCGCATTTGAAAGTGCGCGATGCAGTTACGTGCCTGGCACGTTTTACCGCCCTTTGCTGGTCCTCAGTCTCCACTCATCCCTGTCCTGGGTCACGTCCACGGTCCACTCCACAGTCCTTGCTATCCTCGTTCACCAGTCACTGCTAATCCGCCTCGCTCTCAGCCTGCCCCTCTATCCCCACCCCGGTGCTTCCATGTGCATCACGGTTCTTCTTTCGACGTGATCGTCTTCTCTCCTTCCCATATGGTCTATCCACCCGAGTCAACATCTAGCACCGCCAACCTCAGGGCTTCAAATCACATCGCCGATCCGATTGTGTGACCTACAGCCGCTCTCCTGCCGCAGCGCTAACGTATTCTAACCGCCGAATCTCTTGGCATCTCCCGCAGGTGTTTCGTGCCGGGGCGGCGCTGCTGGCATTGCTCCAGCAGCCGGACCTTCTGCCCGGTGCCCCGCAGCGTCTTGCCGCTCTCTACCTCCTCTGGGAGATGTACCGCACCGAACCGCCCGCCGCAAGCCCCTTCGCCGCCGTCTTCGCCCACCTCCTCGACCCGGCGTCTCCCTCGCCCACCGCTTCGGCGGTGGCACCAGCTGGAGGTGCAGCAATATCAGTAGCAGGGTCGTCCGCAGTTGCTGCTGCTGCTGTTGGGAGGGCAGGAGCTGCTGCCACTACTGCTGCAGCTGCACCGGCAGCAGGAGCAGCGTCAACTGCCACTGCTGCGGCCGGGAGGGCAGGAACTGCTGCCACTACAGGTGCAGCTGCAGCAGGAACAGCAGCAGCGGCGGCAGCAGCAGCGGAAACAGCAGGGATGGCGCCCCGGAGCAGCATGCGCGTGGTGCTAGGTGTTGGTGGTGCTGCTGCTATGCGTGGTTTTTAGGTCATGTATTTTAGTATACAGAAAATACTTGTATTGCAGTAAAGATTGCGCTTAATTTCAGTCGGGTTTGTTCAGGTCGATAACCAGGAAAAACATTCTGTACGCCACAAAGTATACCTCTCTGTGACCAGCTACTAGTTACTGGCCTTCAGCCTACCAATGGCTGGTAAAATATTAATTGAAATGAAAATGTGGAAATGATACCACTACTTTTATGCCAAGAGTGGAGATGAGTGCTTTGCCCTACTTGGATCATGGATTGTTGAATATTATCAACCTCTTTTTCTTCATCTCTCCTCACCCACGTGATGAATAGTGAATTAAAATGTGGAGTGTGTACTGGTTATGAACATTGTAATGTTGAATAATTATCAACCTCTTTTTCTTCATCTCTCCTCACCCACGTGATGAATAGTGAATTAGAATGTGGAGTGTGTACGTACTGGTTATGAACATTGCAATGTTAAACACGGTCCCCCCCCACCCCGCCTGAAACTGTTGGACAGAATGCCTCACAGACCCATTACATGCAGTTGGCAGCAGACATTTAACTATTATTCAGTTAACTAAAATAAATCCTTAGCTAATGGACCAGGCATCAATTACCACAGTATAAACTAGTTGGTACAGATGCTGCATAACATTGTAGACAGCACCAACAAGTTTATATATATAGGACCATATTTTGACGGTATCAGAAAATGCTGTTATCAAAAACATGGTCCCATAGATATCAGTGCTCAACCGGATCTGTTGATGCTTTCATCTTCGCATCGTCTTTGTGCTGTTCCTTTTGGTGTTCTCTGGTCTAGCACGGGTGAGACAAGGCCATAATTGAGTCTCTCTGGTGTAGGCCATTTGATTTCAAGGACAATGCATATATAATTATCAGAGCATGTTTGTGTGCATGTTTTACCACAAGCACATGTGGTTAATGCCTTGCAATAGGTGTCTATTTGGTGTTTGAAAGGTTAAAGCTCATTATTTTTTCAAGACAATATACGAGACAAACAAGACACTACAAACGACCCATACAATCAACAATGCAGATTGTACATCGGAACACACTATACGAGTTAGTAGAACCAAGAAAAAAAATGTGATTCTTGAATTCTAACCCAGGCTATTGTGTTACCCATATTTCGACACTTTCCCCCCTGTATTTTAAAGCATATTTTGGGGATATACTTTATAATCTGGTGTATGCAAGACCACATTTGTATAACTTTATTTACACAGGGAAAAAAACTTTACAGAGCATATTACTTTCCAGAGCATAACAGTACCATGACATTTCATGAAATCACGGGGAAGTGAATCATTACATGTCTGTGGAGAGCAGTGTTATGTAAACTTGCAAGTAAATGGCTGAAGCCATACATGTGTTGTGAGTGGAGCTGATGTGTGGTTGTAATACAGTGATTCCATTGTCCTTTTGGTCCCCCTCATGTTGTGCAGCCTTCAAGAGCCCTCTTCTCTAACCTGTAATCATGTACAGCCCAGTTCTGAGCCCCTAAATGACAACACAACAATGGGATTTCGTGATATTTTGTGAATAGCTGACTGGTATTCTACTAATAGTAGCTTAGCAATGCATTTTTTTTACATGGGAATCCACGAAGTAAAAACACTCAATAATTGTATTCCCTTTTTGAGATTCTTAGCAAAGAGGTTTTGCAGGAATGCAAGCAGTGTACGCCGAGACGTTTTAATTTTTTTATTATTGGGTATACATTCTGTACGGTAAAATATTCTGGAAAAATCCTGTTTTCCATGCACAACATGAAAGCTGTGGCTCTGATAAAACATGCCCTTATATGTTTGTGCAAAGCATTAAACGTGCTTTCGTTTTGCTTCGCATTACACCCATGCAACTTGAAAATTTCTCACAATATTTCTGAAAGGGCTCTTGAACGCCTTCCCCATGAGCCTCTTGATCTCAGGCAGGAGCATTTTCATTTCATACGATTATACTTTTGAGCTAAACTATGGTAATATGTTATATTTATTTATGAAATAATCCGTCACTATATAAGCTAAAACATGGTAAACTCTGTTAATGACATACAATGACTCCACAGGCCTTGAATTTGGTGGATACTACCAAAACTTCAACTCTTTCAACCATGGGAAGTACCAAAACTTTGTGTGCTTTTATCCAGAAAGGCCCCATCACTTTGTTAGGCTGCTTTTAGTACACACACCTCCGATTAGCATGGTTGGCTACGTACAGTGCAAAAGAAGTCCAACATACATACATGCTTGACTTCTAAAAAAAGTCAACCACAATCTGAGTGGATTAATATTTAGGTTGTAACAGGAATTGTTCAGCCAAATAACACTATAATTAGAACACGGACTTAAAATTAGAAGTTTGTTAATTTTAATTATTGGTTGTCTACTCAGGCCATATTTATATAATAGTTGATAAAAATAATTACTAATTCGTGATCGGTCAACAAAGGTCATTTCATATAGAGACTGGCCCCTTGCCAGGGGAATGTGATTTCCAATAATGTCTCCAGGTCACCAATGTGAATGAATTCCACCTCATGAGAACACCTGAGGCTCAGAGCCAGATGAAGGGACCAAGGGAATGTCACTTGCGTTACGGTAAAATAGGATTCCACACTTAAGACGTATGAAAAGGAAACCAGAGTGCCTGGGTGAAACTCACATAAACAAGTTGATCACTCTTCAGCCTGGGTCCAAATCTAAACACCACTTAAATTCAGTAACAAAATTCAATGAAAAGTATTTGTTGCCTTCTTCGCAACTGAGAAGCCAAGGCTGCGCAGATCCTAAACTTCTATCTCATGCTGAGAGCCATCAGTGTGTGTCTTCCATCATGCGTGTGTAACACGCCTGTCCTGTGTACCCGGCCTGTGCGTAGGCTTCCTGCCGCCCATCACGGGTGCCGAGAAGTTCTTCCTGTCGCATCTGATGCTGGCACCGCCGAGAGAGCTCTTCAAGAAAACCCCGCGCCAGATCTGTGCCACCGACATGTCTACGGTGCCCTTGCAGCCTGTGGACATCAGTGGGCTGCAGTTGGCACTCGCAGGTGTGTATGCGAGCCAGTGATACCCTGCGCCATGTTACGAGAGCTCCGTTTCGTGAATTGCACACTGAGAGCCATGCAACTTAAATTGTACATTGAGCCCCCTTTGAAAACATGAATTATATACTGAGCACTCTACCATGAATTACTCACCGAGAGCCCTCTACCATGAATCGTTCACTGTCCCCGTCTTAAATAAGTACTGAGATTGGTATGTGTGTTCAACTTCTTTCGCACCGTACGTAGCTAACCATGCTAAATCGGAGGTGGTGAGTGAGAATCGGTATTGGGGAGACATGTGGGCGTTTCTGGCCACACCTGTTCTTTGTTTGCCATGCCAACCTCAATCCTTACTCTGTCCTTACAAACATGTTACATGCCTAGGGTCTTTTTAACACGATAATTATAGTCTTTGTGATATAAAATAGTTTAACAGGTTGAGAGTGAGCTTGTCTCGTGCAATAAAATTGTGAGGTGCATCGTTTTATTTGGTCGCACGGTCAGTGTCGTGCGTGGGTGGTTGTGGCTCTTCTTGGGGTGCCCCATGCCATTTGACGGCATCGAGAGGCGTGCGGTTTCTCTTTCAGAGCGCCAGTCCGAGTTACCGACCCAGAGCAAAGCGGGGATCCCTGCCATCCTGGCTGACGCGGATCCTGACTCCGGCTCGGGGCCTGACAGCACCGTCGCCGCACAGGTGGCGGAGGCGCTGCTCACCGGGACTCACCCGCCCATCGACAGTATGTGTCCTCTTCTTTGGTTCTTTCGGTAAAGTCATGTAGAATGAGAATAAAATAATACATTGATAAAATAACACAATAATATTCTCACGACGTTTCGGCCACAACACAAGCGGCCTTCATCAGGTGAAGGGACGAGACTGTCTGGTAGGACAGCGCTGGAGTGGAGTGTCCTGGCCAGCTCTCCGGTTCTCCGACATGACTGGCAAATGACACGACAGCCAACCCACAAAGAGCAGGAGTGGCCAAACCCCCTGATTCTTAAAAACCTCATACCAAGATGGAGGGGCCATGAAATAAAATCTTCATGTTGCCAGCGGTCGCAAGACGAACATTTAACTTGCAGTGGTCACGTGACCAGTTCAATCACCCAGGTTGGCTGTGGAATTTTTAATTTGAGAAATCTGTACACTGCCAATGGGCGAGTGTCCCGGGCTGTTCCAATTTTCCCGTTTCAGATAAAGTTACATTGAAAATTTGAAAATTGAGCGGCGTCTCTAAATGAGCATCACTTGAACTGTTTAGGAGCTACATGAGCTTAACGAGTGGCATGCCACCCCTGCACTGTAGCATTGCCTCCTGGTGGGCATTACAAAGAGGTAAATGTGTCTCCCTGCTCAAATGGACATCTTTGAAAAAACGCTTTCTAGCTCATCAGTTTCCTCCAGTATAAAGAAATAAATATTCAGATTCTGAATGAACATTGTGGCAGCTATTATCCCAACTGGGAATCCTGAACCATTGATGGAAATGTATACACAGCATGGAGGCCATACATGTATCCACACTTTTTAACTCTACGAATAATGTGTATACGGTATTCCCTCATTATTCGCGAGGGATGTGTTCTAAAGATACTCGTGAATAGCATATTTCGTGGATAATGATTTTGGCCTACGAAAATGAATTACCTTAAATCATGAATTGCTTTAGCTACATAAATAAGCTATTGAATACATGACAATTATAACATCACCTAATCTCATCACTTTATCTCACTACTTTCTCTCTCGATGCAGTCGTGTAGAGTTCCAGATGTGATTTTCGGATGATAAAAAGTAGATAACAATTTCGTGAAGAACGAGGGAATACTGTATCCACAGAACAAGCTATTTGGATTTTTGAGCAGTGTCATCCTTCAAGCACCACCTGCTCATTTGCCGCACCTCCGATTAGCACGGTTAGCTACGTACGGTGAGAAAGAAGTTCAACAGACATACATAGCCAACCACACGTGCTGAGGGATGAGGCTGTGCCAAACGGTGACACTGTTGCCTCCAGGTCACCTGCGCCCAGAGTTCATCCGCCCGGTGCCACCGCTGCACGTGTGTGAGGACGAGCCGGCCTGGATTAACCCCACGGAGCCGGAGCACAGCGTGCGCTGGGACCGCTCCATGTGTGTGCAGAGCAGCGCCGGCCTGGAGATCAAGAGGCTCATGGGCAAGGCGTTTAAGAGCCCACTCACCGTGCACCAGCAAAAGCAGGTGAGAGGTTTTGTTCTGCGTTGCGCCCGTGCTCGTACAAATTAAATCGCAGATCGTCAGAAATGGTAAAATGCGCAGTAAACTAATTTTTTTTTTAATTTAAACAAATTTGAATCAAGTATAGATCAAAACATTTCTATTCATGTTGTCCAATAATATCTTTAGCCATAAAGCTCACCTTTGAGTAACATTTTGCAATATTACTTGGAGATTGAGGTATGCCTTAGGCTATAGGGGGGTGCTGGAAATATTAATTCACTAAACATTCATTGTGATTACTTTGTAAACACTGGAGTTCAAACCTTCCAGCCAATTCGTAAGTCGAACTTCTCGTTGCCGCAAGGTGGACACTGGCAATTGGACATTTGTGAAAAAGAGCTTCATAGCTAATCGGATTCCTCCAGTAGAAATAAATATTCTGATGATTCAGAATTGACAGACTCCTGTGTGCCCTGTGTGCATGCAGGTGCTGAACGAGCTGGAGAAGGACCCCAAGCTCGTGTACCACATCGGGCTGACGCCCAGCAAGCTGCCCGACCTGGTGGAGAACAACCCGCTCGTGGCCATAGAGATGCTGCTCAAGCTTATGCAGTCAAGCCAAATCACTGAGTACTTCTCTGTGCTCGTCAACATGGAGATGTCCCTGCACTCCATGGAGGTCGTCAACAGGTAGGGGAGGACTTAACTTTCGGGCGCTGGCTGGCGTGCCGGACTCGTTGTCAGAAGACTATTCACCAATGTGGAGTTGGTGAAATGAGCACCGTTTTGTTAGGAGTCAATGGCGTTTGTCACCAACAGGGTCGGCAACCAAAATAACAAGAAGAGACATTTTTTTTCTCCAATTTGGTAAAAAACCTCCATTTTGAGAGGCGCAAAGCAGTTCTTAAAAAGCCGCATGTTGCTGACCCCCCCCCTGGTCTAGCCCCTTCCACGGGAATGTGAATTTTTCACATCTGGACAGGGCTGCCAATCTGAGATGAGCACTGTGGTGGAATGAAAATATATTTTCAGCGATGAAAAATGTGCAGCCTATGCTCTTCTTTTAAGCAGGTTCTGTCATTTATTTTGCACATTTGCCTGTATTACTGAAACCTTGATAAACCTAAAAATGCCACTGAATGCTTTTTTCCCTGTTCTTGCCCTTTCCACACTAATTGTGATTATGTCCTTAGAATAAAATGTGTTATTGCGCTCCAACGGCAACTTTGTTTATTTTGATCAAATTTGAAACAGATTTATTAACCAATCATTAGTATATCTACATTTAATACATTTCTTGTGTATGTATGTGAATGCATGTTCAGGCTAACAACTGCAGTGGACCTTCCTCCAGAATTCATTCACCTGTACATCTCAAACTGCATCTCCACCTGTGAAAACATCAAGGATAAGTACATGCAGGTGAGTCGTGGGCTAAACAGGCCAGCCCAGTAAATCAGGTGACATGCAGGTTGCACTGATCACCATTGCACCTGTCCTCCAACGCAAACACCCACGTGCAGAAGCGGCATTGTACATTTGTTGCTTGTACATTTCCTAGAAATGTGGGGCTCATGGGCATGGCCAGGCAAGCCGGGTGTTATAAAGGAAGCCAGCAAAGGTTCCCACTGTATAATGTTTTCAGCCAAAGGAAGCCGCATACAAACACCCTTCACAGTTGGACTCCAGCTGTGGATGTTACCAGGCTCATGTGTAGAGGTACCTGTGATTGGGTTTAAGAAACAATGGTCAAACGTAGCTACATATAAACGCAGTGCACAGTTGGACTCCGGTTGTGGAATGTTACCTGGCTCATGCACGTGCTTAGAGGTGGAAATGATGGTGCTTAAAAGCCAGGCCCTCCGTGCAACAGTGGCCGTGTGCTCGTCCGCGCGTGTGCAGAACCGGCTCGTGCGGCTCGTGTGCGTCTTCCTGCAATCGCTCATCCGCAACAAGATCATCAATGTGCAGGACCTGTTCATCGAAGTGCAGGCCTTCTGCATCGAATTCAGCCGAATCCGCGAGGCGGCCGGCCTCTTCCGGCTCCTCAAGACGCTCGAGTGCAATGAGGGTCCATCCGACGGCAAGACGGGCAAGTAGGCGCGAGGTGCTCATGGACGCTGAGCGTCCCACTATGAGCATCATCAGCCGAGCCCACCTCGTCATATTTTCCTCTTCGTTGGACCCTGCAGATCTCAATTTTGCCTCGTTGATGTGGAATAAAAAAAAAAACACGTTGTGGAAACGTTTAATTCTTTCAACAAACCCTGTTAAGAAGTCCGATTGAAACTGACGTTTAGCCTCCTCCGTGACAACTGCTTATGACACCGTTCTTTGTGAATTTTGTGGCAGTGCCCAGCAGTGAATGTGCAGTGGTCACATTGTGATTAAAAGGTCTTATTTGGCCTGTCAAGAGGCCAAATGAAGAACAGGCTACTAGACTCACAGGCTGGTATCCAGTGTAATGTAAGTGCACAGGACTGAGCTATTCACTTTTTGACACACGTACTTTTTCATACAAATAACTTTTTTCTATCGTGTATTGGAAAACCATTGTGTGCGGAAGAAAAGGTTGGCCTTCACAATGTTAAAGAATTGCAATCATCTGTCAAGTGTGACCCACGACTGTTAACATTACCCTAGCCATGGTAGCAAGTTGATGCTTACAAAATTGGTGACATCCTGCAGTCAGTTGAGGGTTAAAACGAGCATTTCCCATACGTTTGTGGCTATAATACTGCTGCATGCTGGGTGTAGGTTTGCTGTAGTTAAGCTGCACAATGTCCATTGTTGTTTCTTCTCGAAGACCAAGTGGAGCAATCAGTATCTTGGCTCACGGGTGATTTTGTCAGTTGCGTTGTGATTGTAGGTTTAACTTTGTCATTCCAAAAGCTACAGAAATGTTCTGACCATGACCTCTTCTCCATTGCCCATTCCCTTCTCTTGCCCCTCCACTCCTTCCTGTCCCCTGCCCTTTCATGACCCAGATGTGCCCCAATTACGGTCGCTCATTCCTAGACTCCTACATGTCACTCCCCTACTAAATCACTATTTTTGTTAACACTTTTAAACTATGTAAAGCAACTTTGGCTAAAGCGCTCCAAAAATGTAATATAATATGATATAAAAAAAAAATCCCTTTTCACCAGGCCAAACATTGTTGCATGTGAAAGCTGAACACCGGGAAGAATGGTGGCTGGGTGTTTGTCAAAATGTGTAAAATCGATTAGAAATTATGCGGACCCTAATCCCACGAGCAGCAGCAACTCCGGTGCCCACTCAGCCACCACCAAGCGCTCCCCACTAACACGCTTATGCTGCTTCCAGCTCCGCTCGACAGTATTAGCCTGTGCGCAGATATTGGATTATTCTTTAAATCAATAACACCTAGTGTACTCTAAACAGGCTGTTCATTCAATATTAACGGGGAAAAATACTAAATTAATTCCTCCTTCCCGCACTATTTATCACTTTGCTATGAATGTAACTATAATTTTCTCACATTGTCTAGATACCAGTGATAAAACACGTTTCCTTTCATCCTTAAAGCACACTCAAAAGATAATACTCAATGTCTAGTACATTAGTGCTTAACTCCTGGCTCTATTTGACCATGGTAAATTATCACGGTCAAAATTCAACATCTTTCTGCTGAAACCTATTGGTAGCCACGAGCCAGTGATGGAAACTATGCTTACTGCTGCATTGTTCTGACATCGCAGTGCAATGGAATCTGAAGTTCTCAATGGTAACTGGGCAGCTTTTACTCAATGTATGCAAATCATTTTAACCTCCCACACAACTGTAGCAACTACACTGGTTCCCTGTCTACTATTGTTTAAATGTATCACTCATCTATATATGTTGACATGGTCTTGCCCCAACTTATCTTGCTCGTCTCGTATCTTACTACCGTCCCGGCTGCCGCCCTGCGCCCAATTTCGCTGTCGTTCCTTTTTCCCCTTGCTCCTCCTCACTGGAACGAACTTCTGCTGCACATCAAGCATCGTCACTAACCTGCTTCCTTTCCTCCATTAAAACCAATCTCTTCTTCCTAGCCCATCCTGCTGATCCCCAACTACAAGGCCTACCCCAACCTCTAACCCCCTCCCCCGCCTGTTTGCCCACCTTTCACCATAACTACAGCATCACTTTTAATAACCCCCCCCTTCTTTATCTCAATGACGATCTTGCATACAATTTTAGAATTGCTGTAAAGCTCCTTGGAATAAGGCGCTTCAAATCTATACAAGATACGAAATCGAAAAAAAAAGCAGTCGCTCCCCCAGTCGTGAACGTGGGGCACTTGTGGCCGGCTCTTCAGACTGGGCGTCTGATAGGAGGTCGCGGTCGTAGTATTTGGATCTCGTCGTCCCATGGAGCGGCGCACTCTTTTTGTAAATTGTGAAGAGTAACTTTAGCTGTGCACGTGTATGTCCTCGAGAGAATGTGAACGTGGACGAAAAGAACACGTTTTGTTTTACGTTCAAGCCGAAGCCATTTGGATGATCGCTTTCTCTGGATACTTTTTTCTTTTTTTCAAATAAAATTTAAAGTTTTTGTCTTGGAGAGTGAACCATAAGTGTTGGGTTGCCCGATTGACGCCATTATTACATCGATCACTACCACTGGTAGCACCGTATTTGTTTCAAGGCAAACCCTTTGGCCATTGCCTCCACAGCAGCATGCATTATGACCTGTGAAACCAATGATGGCGGATAGCCCAGTGTTGTGACAAGAGCCATGATAAACGTAATTCGACTCGGTGAAGTCAAAACTACGGTAGTCGTGGGGTTTGCATTTTGTAATGAATGTTACTGGGATAAGAATGATGTGGAAAGCCTGCTGGACAATTTATTACACGTTTTTGAAGCAGTCAAACAAACCCCACCCCTGCCTTCAGTGATGCGTTTATCACATTGCCAGAGCAGTACATAATTACCTTTACAGGTAAAAATCCTTTGTGAGAGCAGAGAGTGAAGATGGCTAAATAAAATCAATCTGCATTTCATGCAGTGTTTTTAAAAGCTGGCGAGGCACTTTTAAACCGGAGGATATTCTAGGCGCTTCATTGATGCTCACTGCAAGATCCATGCCAGAGTTCATTAAGTAGCGACCATTTGTCCACTAATGTAATGGACTCGCGAGGTTTCGGGAGGAACTGCAACGATGCAAGAATTGGATAGGACACGTCAATTGCATTGACCAGCTTGTAAACATTCAGCTGTTAGGGTTTGGGCAGAGTTCACGTGGATCTCTCGGCTTTGTGCAGTCGCTGCACTCCCCCCCCCTGAGCAGCCTGGAGCGAGAGGGAAACGCCACCACATGAGTGGTCACAAGAAGGCTCGGGGTACAAAATTGAAGCGTGTGAAATGTTTGTGTTTTTTATTTGTGCTTTCTAGCTGATGTGCATCGATAGGTGCAGCTCATTTTCAGTGTTTGCCATGGGACCTTCACTACTCTTAATTGTTTTTGGTGAAAAATCTGTTTCAGCCAATGTTTGGATGAATTTCCATTATCATTTTGTCATGAGGTGGTTTCCCCCCCGCCCCCCCTCACTAAAAATAGACAAACGTTGCCATGAGCAGCACATGAGTCTGGCTTCATCCGAGCTCATGCACTGGGTAAATCTGGTACTGTAATTGAAGTTATATTTCCTTAGCGTTTAACAATGCCTTTCACATTTTGTTCGCGAGTTTTAACCGTAAAATCATGCAGTCATGCAGCGTTAAGAGAGTTGTGCTTAGCTGAACACTCGGTGTTCCAGGCGCTTGCGTATATGGGAAATGTTTAGAGGTTCACAACTGCACTGCGATCGTACCACGGGCAAAATGAAGGACGCTTAGATCTTTCAGGTGGCTGTGCTCTGCTGCAAGGGACACGAGAAAACGAAACCACCGCTGACTTGCCCCCACTTTAAGCTGAATGATATTCCAGCAGAAAAGAAATTCACTCCTCATTCGAGCCAGACACAAAGCGATGATTGGGGGGGGAGGGGGATGGTAGCTCAGGGTGAGCTGAACGGTGAACGCGATGGCAGCACGGCTAAATCGGGATGTGTGAACCGGAGCTGTTGGCTGCGAAGGATCCACAATTTCGTTACCAAGGATTCTCTTTGAGCAGACTGCTGCCGAGACGGGAAACTAGAATCGGTTCGACATGTCACAAAACGTGCCCACCTTTCCAAGCCTTGGGAAGTGAACTTTTAGGAGTGCAGCTTTAGAAAATTCACAGCGACGTGTTAATATTCCAAGGCCCGTTACGAGCAATTCGACAGCCGAGGAACTTTCAATTGGAGGCAAAAATGTGCAGTGTATGCAACATTGGGCACTCTAATTTCACATAAATGTAAATGTTTCAATTACTATTAGACACTTGCATTGATAGAGCATTCCCTGTTGCTTTACTAAACAAGCGATTAGCGTCATTGTCAATTAGATTGGTATTGAAATATTTGCCCTAAACTGGAGGCCATTACAATGAGTATATCGTAATGCTCATTGTAGTCTTGTAAGGCAATAAACCATATGTAATTGAAGCAGGTTTAGTGGTCGTGTTTGAATAATATCCATGTCATCTATCCAGGAAATCCTCGCCTTTTAAGGGAGGTCCTACATTGGAATGTTTAGCCAACTTAATGAACGAGTGTTTTGCATCATCAGCAATGGTCAATACACGGCTGCATGAAAGGCCTCCCCATGCCACCACTATCTTCCGATTAGCACGGTTGGCTACGTACGGTGCGAAAGAAATTCAACACGTACATCCTGCAATGTAATATTCCACCTCTAGCCTGCACGTGCCGATTTCATTGCTCGATCTGCGGTGTATGTTCTCATTGGCATGTACTTGTAGAAAATAATCCACAATCGGAGGAGACTAAGGCACTGCACATATAGTTTCAATTTGCATACTGTATTGGCATCATATCACCCTCTTAGCGGTTTGGGATTACCACAAATGTGTGATCCACCAACCCTAATGCCCGTTAAAGGCATGCACAACATGCTTGGCAGTCTCATCAGGAAACACAAAACGTGTTCACAATTCAAGCCGTTATCACTTAAGCGCCATTTATTTTAGTTCTACAGCTCAACATTCAGAAGAGAGATGTAATCAGAAATGATGACAACATGCATTAAGTAGAGAAGCGACAAAATGTGTTGCAAAAAAATGACAGGATGTATTCAGGAAAGTGAAAAGAAAGATACCGGTCCCATTAATGATAAAATGGAAACGCACATGTAGAGCACAATATTTACAGCGCCAAGGCCTCACGTCTCACCTACTGTGTATGTACGTTGAACTTCTTTCACACCGTACACGTTGCCAACCGTGCTAATCGGAGCCATTGTAGCCCTCGGCGTCTCCACCCCCGAATCGTGCCACCCCAGAAGCCTCTAAGCGAGAAGGCAAACTCAATTATTTCAAAGCCACGCCGCGCCATTTGTGCAAATGGTTAAGTTTGAGTGGCCCCCGTGGACCGGATGATATGGAGCTTGTGGGGCCCGGGTTTAAGCCCCCTCTGTGCCGAAGTTTTGCCAAGCCCAAGACATCGCCGCTCTCGGCGAAGCCCTCTTTTCTTGCCCGTACGAAAGCCTCGAAATATTCACCTGCATGACGACACGACACCGTTGACACAAAACGGCGTACGCCGAGAAAAGCATCACGACACCCGCGACTGATTTTTTTTTGCTCAATTATTTTACTTTTATTTATAACTTGCCGCGAAGAAAAAAAACTGGCGGCAAGGTGAGATCTTTGACAATCACCCATATATATACACAATCGGTGTGCTTCATTGTAGATATATACAGTACATTGGTTAAAGCAATTTCATACAATTACTGAGGGATTGCAACATCACTTCCAATCTGAGAAAGGATGAATGCTTGTATACAAGTGCAGTTGAGGGAGGAGATTACATTTGAACGGAAGAGACTCGTGTAAGAGCGGTACTCGAGAAAATGAATGCATCATCAACTCTTACCGAGAGGTTGATCCAACATTCGGGGAGTTCTGTATAAATCCCGTGTCTCGTACGCATTACAAGATTTTTCTGTTTTAATAAATGCCACAGATCAGCGTTAGGTCCTTCATCATTGCAATAATACAGTGACGCGTTGAAGCCCTATGCCCGCGTGGTTATGACAGAGAGAAAACCACGTGGTGCTTTTTGTTGTTGTCGTTGGTTGAGAATGCAAGCGATCGCGTTTGCAGTGGGCATAGACACGCACGCCAACAACGAACGGGCCTCATCGCATCGGCGGCATTGCCCCACGTCGTAGAACATACATCTATTTGATAATAAACGACAGCCCTTTTTGTCGGTTCACTGCCGGACGAAGGCCTCCACAAGGGGGATGCGAATTGTTTGACCTTGCTTTGTATGCTGGTTAGTGCGGATTTGGTGTGGGGGGGGGGTCAAAGAACTGGTTCAGATATCACTCGCCACTGATTTTTTTTGCTGTGGCTGGGAATGGAACTGGTGTGCTAGCCAGTGCCTGTCTGCCACTCCTTAGCAGGGAAACGTGAGGTGAACAATGCCAGATTTTTTTTTTCAGAGCACACAAGGCATGCGATATTCTGATCCAACCCCACCAAATTCCAGTGAGACTTATTACAATTAATTCTAAGAATACTAGTGATTAGAAATGGAGATATCCCTTTCCTTACATTGAGAGTAAAAACACCCTGTTACACTCACGTATCAATGCACCGAAGCAACACTTTTTTTTACAGAAAATTGCAACAGACTTGAAATTAATGACAATGCGGGGACATTAAACAATGTCAAATTTTTGAAACGGCCGATTATGTTGGCAGTCCTGAACAATTGGTTGAAGTTGCACAATCCTGTGCGCAGGATCCAGTTTGGCATTCAAAAATCACTAACTTCCCACAAATTGGTGCCTAGATGCCAACTACTGTCAATGGTGACTGTGCAGAGGTCTTTTCTGTGTTGCTCACCATAAGCCGCTTGTAGGACTCAAATCCCTCTCCTTTCCCACTCTTCAACTCAAGCTGCTCTGGGGCCAGAGTGGCCAGGGCTATTTTTCCCACTGTGTTACCCAAGCCGTGCCGCCAAACGCAACGCGCATGCTAGGCGTGTTATGATGACGATTATTAATCCCATCCCTCTGGCCCTGCTTGGCCCCGAGCCAGATTCAGATGTCTGGCGAGTGGATTGATCACCGCTGACAGTCGTGAGGGCACCGCGCTGGTGCAGCTCGTGTGTGCCAGTGGGGAAGGGGTAAACGAGGGCAGTGAGAGTTAAAGAGGCTCCAAGCAGCAATCTTTTAAGTTTCGGGGGTCCAAACAGCCGCGTTGCGCCATGTCGAGAATCCAAGCGGTGACACCGCATATGGCTCTCGCTGCACTCCAGTCCAAAACTTGAGGGGCAACTGCCGCTGTCCCTCAATGTTTACACGCCCATGGCAAGTTGACATAACTGGCGACATTGGGGCGAATTACACACCGAACCATCTGCTGCTCCATGCCTCGGTCATTATGAAACCCATCCAAGTGCCAAGTGTGAAATAATGGCCCGGGCTGCGTTCTGGTCGTCTGCTTCAATAGTTTCCCCCGGCGATTCGTCAAAGTCAGGCAGGCAGCCTATTGAGGTGAATGATCATGCTTTTTAATGTGACCGGAACAAGGTGGCACCGTTTAGCGGATTGAATGCCTTCGCAATAGTATAAATCCCAATTAGGGGTCACTTCAGCCCATCACTCGAATAAGTGCAGGTTGAAACCTTGCAATTACTGCCACTGCTGACATGAGGGCCACCACTAGAAGGACCTCCAGGTGATATTTTGGCCTGCTCATTCACGCTGATCAGATGCCTTAAAAAGTGGGAGCACCCTCACTTTATCGCACCAAATACGACTTGACGATCGGCTGTGGTGCACTATTCCACTGGGTGGACAGAGGTGGGGGGATTTAAGAAACAAGGACATTGTTTCTACTGCCGTGCCAGAAGATCGAACCGGCGACCTCTCCCACCACTCCCCTTGTTGGGTTCATAAAATTAGCACTGGCGCGTGGGAAAAACAACAGTGGCCGTCTTGTGGAGAAACGGGCCCCTTCCATGGGAATGTAGACAGTCCGCTGCTCACTCAGGGCTGCCAATGGAGATGATTGCCACCCCACTCGCTCGTCTCCCGAGACGGCGTGATGGGAGTGTGGCGCTGCTGATCTTGGGATCATCAACAGTGCTATGCAAACTCTTCCACTCGGTGCAAATGCAACTGGAAACTAAATGACCGGCACAATTGGAAGGTTGTGAAAACTGTAGTATTCAGACCGGTGGACCAGATCCAACTCCCCAGCACACAGGTTAGAGGTGGAATATCCAACTGCGTTGGATTGTGTGGTTGTGCCGTGTAGTTCTCCGATGTGTTTTTTTCTGAAACTGAAGAAGCTCCCGGCACACGTTGTGAAACGTCAGACATCATGATGGAAAACACGCTGTACAATCCGGGAACACGTCGGACAGCTAGATATGAAAACCACAATCGAGGCATTGCCTTCTGGAAGTGTCATTTTGAGACACAAAGCAGTGGACATAAAGTCATGCTCAGTAACCGTTATGTAACTGTGTACACAGCAAAGTGGAAAAGTATGCGCCATTTGTTGAAAATAGAACAACAGATAAGGGACAACATGATTTTTTGTTACAATACCAGAGGGTTTTGCGGATGCCAATGGATTGATTTTTGTCTGCTGATTTACAGAGCACATCCTCAGCGAGGGGTAAAGCAACACGAGAGCTCATGCTGCATAGCAAACAGCACAATGGACACGATTTGAAGTAATCCTACATTATTACACATTGTCTAGATACAGTACTGTATTTCGTATGGAGAGAGCCACAGGAGAAAAATATATAGAGAGAGAGAAGACTGATCTTAATTCATAAAGCGTTTTGTAATTTACACAGACACCAGTGGGTAACGCATTGGTAAATGCCGTCTCAAAAAATATAATACATATTCATGTTTAACCCAATGATTCAAGAACCACAATGCACCTTGAGCAATATTAAAAAAAGAAATACAGCAAGCCACTGACAGCTGTGTGTGTGTGTATATATCCTTAGAGAATAATGGAGCGGGCGGGGGGGGGGGCGTACCAGTTTCTGTTGCGATAGTACCGAAACAGCCGGTACATTTCTGAGATCCACGTGCAGACCCGATGGGAGATCTCAATAGAACACCCCCCCCCCCACCCTGGAGGGTCTGTACCTCGCAGCAACTCGCCCCATTTGGAATATGGGGTGCAACTCGCATTCATTGCACCGGTGGACAACGGTCTGTGCAGAGCACAATTTAACCAAATTCCTGGGGAAACAAACGGCCAACCACCTTGCCATGATGCAGACTGCGGGATGCTCGGAGGCATCCGCAGTCTGCAATCGGACCTGATTGGTCCTGCAAGTGGCTGTTTAAAGCAAGCAGGTCAATGGTGAAAATATTATTATAGGGACTGAAGAGACGCCTCGATCTGCAATCGTTTGAATCGTTCAAAGTGAACACGGGCCAGTATGCACTTCCATTCACAGCACGAAGCCCATGATAAGAATTTCACATTCCCATGCCAGGGCCTAGGCACACCCAAAAGACAACCACCATTGACTTCCCATGAAGTGGTTCTTATTTAATCTATCCCCCAAGGGATGAATGGCTCTGACCGGGATTTGAACTTGCTTCCGATTGCAGATTGCACGCTCTGACTGCAGCGCTTCCTGGCTGCTCGTGCATTATTAAGCGTGACAAATAACAGGCTCGGATAGCACGTCACAACGTTGCTAGACCCCACTCGGCAAGCGTCGGCTTCGCTTCCGACGAAATCCCGACGCTTGCGACAAAGCGAAGGAGGCGACACCGCGTGCCCATTTGTGAAGCGGCTCGAGAGCACGGAATAAGTTAACGCAGCCGTATGACGGTATATTTAGGCCAGCACGCGCGAGGTATTGTCGCATCGGCACACCCATTGCCCTGCTCTTGGGAAACGGGCTGAGCATAGTGAGTCTTGTCTGCTGCTGCTGCTGCATTGTGTACATGTTCAGAGGAGGTTGTGACCCGGGCTAGATTCCGTCTTGAGTCGTCCGTCATTCTGCCGACAGAGACGAGCGTTGGCTGACACTTGACTGGACTGCTGCAGGTATGAATACATTAAACAATATTGCGTGCATGTGGGCTAGGGACAAAAATCAATGAGTGACAGAAACAAACCGTTCAGTGTTGATTGAGGAACTGCTTATAATAAAAATAAACGCAGCTCCATTGTCAGGTTGTAATACATTTAGAAGGTAATTTGAATCTTTCACACGATTTTGGATCAAAGAAATGTAAAAATAGGTCATTACCTATGCCGGTTAATAAGTATAAAATTGTAACTTACAAAAGACTTATTATTTTTTAGATTCACCTTTTGCCACGATTGTATCAATTAATCTTAAGGTGCTTCGTATTTTGATATCAATAGAATTTCCTAAGAACAGCACATTGTGTGTCTTTCCAATTCAATTCATCGCAAGGCCTCGATCACTCATTTATAGTTATTTATGTATTTATGGTTTACCTGTAGTGAACCATAAGCTAAATTTGGTGTTTAATTTGCATATTGAATGCGCCATGTAAAAAAAATTAGAACAAATGAATTACATTATTGTTACGATACCCAAGATATTGTACGTTCGACTGCTGTGACATTACCATGACATTGAAAATTATATTTAAAAGGCTTACAATTGATCCAATGTTCCATGAATAGTATTTAATCATGAGCAGAATTGTGAACTAAAAAGCAGCAAACTAAAATGTCATTTAAATGGCATGCATACATGGAGTCGTCTTTAAAACAGGAATTGTAGCCGTTTAATTACCATGAAGTGTCTTCACCAAGCTTGAAAAACCAATCGGAGCTATTGTGTTGTTTCTCAGTAACTTTGCGGTTCGGAATTTTCTCCCACTATTCCCCAAGGCCGATTGGAGGGCTGCCATTTGCCCTGAATAAAATTATGCACCTTTCCACCAAAAATAACTAAAAGCTTTCCACTCACTGTGAAACAGCCTACAGCTGTCACACGGTGTTACCACCACCACCACCCTGTGTATATATGCCCCTTCCAAATTACAACTCCCCATTTTCTCACCCACCCCGCGACTTAAATGCCTCCACCTTCAGCGGAGGCGTATAACTGGACGCGGGAATAGACGAGGCAGATTGATGTGGAAACCAGGAGCGTGTGCTGGGGAGTTAGAGAAGAAATTAATTAAGGGATGTGTAGCTCCCAATATCACCTTGCTGTGCAACAAATACCCCCCTCCCACCCCGCTGCCCCTCCCGCCCCCTTCCCCCCGGGTTCACAACTTGTTGTCAGACTGCGGGGGTTCGTTGAGCTCGGGGAGGACGGAGCGGATCTCCACACGACACGGAGAAGAGTCCGGGCTGCCCACGCACACCCTCTCCACCTCCGCCGCGCCCGCCGCTGCACGACGCACACACGCACACACACACACGAGCTCGGGCTCGCGCACACGTACAAATGCACGCACCCTATGGGGTCTGTGGTCTAACAGGGTCGTCTGGGTGAGTGCAGCATAACCACGAGCTGGGCAACGTTCTGCTAGCATACGGGCACCACCAACGCGCACGCCCGCGAGGCCGCGCCTGCAGAGGACTCACGGGCGTAAGGCTCCGGGTACTCCACCGGGGGCAGCGGGGACGGCGGCTCGCTGCAGGGCGGCGACGACGGCGGCGGCGGCTGCTGCTGCTGCTGCTGCTGCGACGAGGGCGGCGGGCTGACGGGCGACTGCGGCTGCTCGTAGGGCGGCGAGCTCTGCGCCGAGCTGCTCTCGGACACGAACGCCTGGTTCGTGTGGGCGTTGGGGTCGGCCGTGCCCAGGATGCCGTCGGCCACCCGCCCGTGGCTGCCCGTGGGCCCGCCGGCCCCGACCCCCAGCTCTTCCTCCCCGCCGCACTCCTCCTCGTTAACCTGCGGCGGGAACGGTGGCGCCGCGCTGCGTAAGCGCAGGTCGTAGAGAACGACCGGGCTGTGTCTGCATGACAGATGTGCATCGACAATAATTTCTGCTACGATCAGTTTTTTTTTTATAAGTCATTTGCAGATTTGATTGCACGACGTTTAAAGTAGGGTCCGAGTTCAAAGTACCGTATTCTCCCGCACACAACCCGCAAAATAATTGCGTTTTGTGGAAAACGAATTTCAGATAGCCCGCACCTCCATATACCCCGCATGCATTCATATATTTAACGTCGTTACCGCAGCTTAATTCCATTATATTAATACGAAGTTTACATTAGTAATACATTCCACTATCAATTGTTGACATTAAAATCATAACGTGCACTGCGCAGACAATAGCGGCACTACGGTAACGCCATTGCCTCGCCCCCAACCCCCCCCACCTCTCTCTCACCCAGCTCTCCCGTCGCCGGTAAACAAAGTGCGCCCCCACTTCAAACATTGTCGTTTCATTGTACAAACAATTCGAATCATTTAAAACGCGATAACATGTGCAATTTTAGTGCGAGTGGTTTATTCAGCAGTGCTTTAGTCAAAGGTAAGTGTTGCATAGTAGATAGTCCTACCATAAAAAATTAAACGAGTTTTGACATGTCACACGTGTAAAATATTTTTTGGGATAGCCCGCACCTCCATATACCCCGCAGGGTCTTGTTTTGTTAGTAAAAAATGGTATACCCCGCGGGTTATATGCGGGAAAATACGGTAGATTTGTCGCAACGTCGTTTGCGACAACATCAGTTTTCGGGATCTGACGATTATTGTAAAGCGTTGTTTTCCATAAATATGCAAATGCGTTTCCCATTTTCATTGCAAAGAATTACAACGTTTTGCACTCGCGAAACGATTGTGTTACCTTGGCAAAGTGACGGCAACTGCAGCCAATGCATTCTGCTGTCCTTTCTCTATGCATGAAGAAAACTTTAAAGCTCTTCAAATGCATACATCGTTCAATATAAGCCCTGCCATAAGCCTTCTAATAATTGTTATTTTATAATCTTTTAACGCTTAGACATCACATGCTATCAGTTACGCATGAAACAATAACATTTACTAAAATAGTCTCGGCTTACTTGGAATTGTGATGCAGGAATACTTGCATGTTCAACGGATGAGAGCTATTTATTTAGAACTTCATCTACTTACTGTGTTCGTTATCTTATAACATTTTATGTTCGTACCAAAAAATATATCAGTGACAGAGTGATATTTTATAAAATGGACGAGACGATTATCCCGGAACATTAAATCGCACAATTTATCGTGGTATCGCCACATCAGGGCAACCCGAGTTTAAAGAGTTGAAAAGAGGGGGGGGGGAAGGGGGACCCCCCGTTAAAGTTCGGGCCAAGTGTGCCACCATAACGTGTACCCGAGTGACATCACTGCATTGGGAGAGCGACTTGAACAGCGTGAAACAACGAGGCACTGCGAATTCAAATCCCGGTCAGGGGGTCGACTTAGCCCATCATCCCTCAGAGGTGTGCGGTTATTATAGGCACGGCGTAAAGCGGTTGTGCGGCATGCCTCGTTGGCTGCGGTTGGAGTCTCTTCGTCAAGGTTGCGCGTGCTAGGCGAGTGCGGCGTGTTGTCGTCGTATTGATGGAGTGGTTGAATGTGTGACGGGCACGGGGACTGCACCCTGCATCACCAGGTGGCAGTGCGAGCCGGCAGCAAGCGCCTGGCACCGCTGCCTTGCAGACGGCAAGCGAGTGATACCGTGCATGCTTGCTTTTGTGCGTGTATGGCACCTGTGAGGAGCGGTCGTGCGATGGTTAGGATGCTGCGCTGTGAACCCAACGACCCGAGTTCCATTCCCGCTCATGGTGACAATTTTCTGAATCGGTCCTGGGCCTCCCCTCGGTCAACTCAGCGTGGAGGAGGCCACGATGGTGGGAAGGAGGCCGTGATGGCGTGGAGGAGGCCACGATGGCATGGAGGAGGCCGTGATGGCATGGAGGAGGCCGTGATGGCGCCATCCAAACTGCCACTCTACGCCCGATCTTATGGAAGAGGTACGTGGATGACACTTTTGTCATCTGGCCACATGGCCAGCCTGCTCTAGACCAATTCCGCGACCACATCAATTCCATACACCCAGCCATCAGATTTACCATGGAGGTGGAAAAAGATGGCAAGCTACCCTTTTTGGATGTCTTAATTAAAAGGAGACCTGATGGTTCAATGAGCCACTCTGTCTACAGGAAAGCTACCCATACAGATGCTTACTTGAAACCGGATTCCCACCACCATCAATCCCATAAGAACTCCCTCATCAAGACTCTATACCATAGAGCCCAATGCATTTCCGACCAGGGACACATTACCAGTGAACTCAAACACGTACACCAGGATCTCAGGGCTAATGGTTACTCCGACTACACAATCCGCAAAGCCATCACTCCAGTCATGAAGAAGGATCCTCTTGTGGAGCCACTCAAAACCATCACCTTACCCTACATTGCAGGGGTCACTAAAAAGATCTCCAAAATCCTGAATAAACACAATATCCAGGTCCGATTCAACACAGTACATAAAATCCGTGATCTGGTTCCATCTGTAAAAGATGCTGTTCCAGACATACAGTACCTGGGCGTTTACAAACTAAAGTACCTCTGTGGTAGTAGCTACATTGGAGAAACCAAACGACATATCTCGGACCGCATCCGCGAACATAAAGCAGACTTGAAACACGGTAGAACGAACTCCTCTGCCGTGGCAGATCACTGTTATAATTCAGTGGGCTCACATGACATTGACTTCTCCAAGACGGAGGTTCTTTGCAAGCCAACCGGCTACCATGAGAGATTCGTTCATGAGGCCATCCACATATACAAGTACTGAGACAATTTCAACCGAGAAGATGGATTCTGGCTTAGTAAGCATTGGAAAGATGTTTTAAACCATTTCGGTTCTTAATTAATTATTTTATGGTGACCTTCAGACAGCAGCTCTTTCGCTGGCATTGACTCTTAATACTTATCACACCACGGTTAATGGTATGGTTTATAACATGATTATAACAGCGCCTCGCAGCTGTTTCTCTCCTCCCTCCTCTGTTCCGACCATGATGGACTCGTCCGTCTGAAAGGGGCTCGTAGCTGTCCATGGTGCTGATGTGGAGGGTAAGAATCCACCCATTTTTTCGCCATATAGCATCGTGATATATAACGACTTATTGTTGGTAGCTCAGCTGATTGGAGAATATATAGAGTTTATTGATAACATTGAGGTAGTTTATATTTTAGTTTTTTATCTGTTTACTATATGGTATTCATTATATAGTGTAGTGTATACCCAGTTGCTGTTAATAGCTCTGCTTATTGAAGAATATATTGAATACATTTATTATATTGATGTAATTTAGACTCAGGTTTTTTCACATCGGTTTACTGTATGATATTTGAGTTGTTGCAGCCCCCATTTGGCGTCTTTGTACGAGGTGCCTCTGTGGATGTGTAGGCTTTGACTTTAACATAGCATTTCGTTGACCATTCACAAGCTAATCCCTCAGCTATTCAATGCTAAATTATCCTGTTTGATTTGTACTAGGCGCCTCTGTGGATGTGTAGGCTTTGACTTTAACATAGCTCTTTCTGTGACCAGTCACAAGCTAATCCCTCAGCTATTTCAATGATAAATTATCCTGTTTGATATGTAAACCCCTTTGTCAAGGTGCCTCACTTCTCTCAACCAGCTTAAAAGACGCTACGAATCATAGCAGCGTTCATTAAAGCTCTGTCGTCCCGACAGTTTTTGTTCCTTCACCTGAAGAAGGCTACTTGTGTTGTGGCCGAAACGTCGTGAGAATTTTATTGTTTTATTTTATTATTTTATTCTCATTCTACGTGACTTTACCGAAAGAACCAAAGAAGAAGATATCGTTTATTGTTAAATTTGAATCAAAGTTCCTATGATTACTGTTGTTACATTGTATTTTATAGCTTTATTTTGGTGATTTCTAAAACATATGGTTAAGCCATGTTTCCTGCGGAAGTGCGGAGTTGGCCTGATAACTTTAATCTAAATTGTTTTATGGTTGTTATTGTTTGTCTTGCATCACACTGGGATTTTTGCACACAGTGTTGTAATACGGTGGCTTTTTTTTCTGGAAGATTTGCTGGTTTATCCCAGGATATATCTGTTGCGCGTCGTCGCTTTAAGATGTTTCTCTGTTCATATTTTGTTTGTTGCGGTTGCACCCGACTCAAAAGCCGCATGGCTCACAGGGCTATACCTAATAAATGAAACTTGAAACTTGAAATGAGTACCTAGTGTGATGTGTAAACATCGCCACAGGGGAGACAAAGGCGACCGGGCATGGCGCTGACCACCCACCCCCTCGTTTGCCGTGCCAGCCTTCATAGGGACTTGCTAACAGGACTTGCCTCAACAGTCTGTAAAGGCTACGGGGGAGCATGGCGTTGTCCCGTGACCTCCTGTCAGCCAGCCTTCGACACTTCACGAGGCCTCAAAACGTGCACTGAACCTGGCACAAGCGCTGTTGTGATGTCACCGCCACTGTGGTAGCTGTGGTTGTTGTTGTGCGCGTGTGTGTGGCTCAAGACAGCCACCCTGGCCTCTGAAGCCATAACAACAAAACTGTCCCCCATGACCTCCCCCGCCAGTGAGCCTTCACCACTCCACAGAGCCTCAAAGTGCACCTAGCCTGATATAGGTGCCACTGCAATTCCACGTGTGGTCATTAACCCCAAAGGCACAAAACACTATGAAATGTACCTAACGGTTGTGCAATTTGCACCAACCAAAAAATACCCGAAGTGGCATCTGAATATATGGCACTGTGGCAGAGTGCCTGGCCCACAATTGGAAATCATCAGTTCAAATCCAGGCCTGGGGGATGGCTAAACCCATAATCTTTCATCCCAGGTTAATCAAATTAACACCATTCTATGGGCAATTAACAACGGTCATCCTTTTGATAGACT